AGAATGGATTTCTAATTCTCTTGTCCTGACAGGAAGGAACTAGGGAGTCCAGAGGGCATGCTGATGTATTCCTCCATTGAGGAGTTGAAGAATGTCTGGCTTCCTTTCTCCATTCGCATGAAGATGACCAAGAATAAAGGGCTGGATGTTTGCAATTGGACTGATGGGGATGAGATACAGGTTGTTGAATAACTGGGAAGAGAAGGGGGAATAAGGGAGAGAAGGTTGGGGCAGAAGCAGGGCAAGGGGAAGATGGAACTTAGTATAGGGAAAAGGGAGGGAATAAAGCCAAGTATTTACCAGTTGTGAGCTTTTCCAGAGTGACTCAGTTCAGTATTGAGAGTCATAGATGGGCTAGGATGGAGATAACCCGCCCTGGTCCCCCATCCCCATCCCCATCTCCCGAACTCCCTGTCCTCTATCCCCTTTCCCCTTCCTTCCCCATCCTTAAACTTAGCTTAGCAGCCTGGGTACCCCCCTCACAGTGGGGCCCAGCCAGGGCAGAGGAGGAGCATGGTGTCTTTGTGTATGACCTGATGGCTACTGTGGTACACATCCTGGACTCACGCACAGGGGGCAGCCTGGTGGCTCACATCAAAGTTGGAGAGACCTACCACCAGCGCAAGGAGGTGAGTGAGATAATACAAGGAAGGGACACTCCTGGTGGTAGCCACAATGGAGTCCCAGGTCTGTCCTTATCTTGAGTCTCAGTGGTCCAGCTATCACTTTATCATCTGTCTTTTGCTGTATTTCCACAGGGTGTTACCCACCAGCAGTGGTATCTCTTCAATGACTTTCTTATTGAACCTATTGATAAGGTTAGTTGTAACACTTTCCATTCCCCCTTTCATCTCCCATTTTCCAAGAATGCTCATCCTCAGTGCTCTAGAGAATCCCAGGCAGATTCAGGAGGGAAGGATGGGTCCTCAAAAATAAAAAGTGTTAGCAAAACTAAACATAGCAGCTGAGTTCTGTCTTCTGTCTCGCTTGGGAAAAAGGAAAAAGGGGCATCTATATATAGGCCATGAAGTGCTTTTTCTTTTATAGCATGAAGCTGTGCAGTTTGACATGAATTGGAAAGTGCCTGCTATCCTTTATTACGTCAAAAGGAATCTTAATTCCAAATACAACCTGAACAGTAAGTGGTACAGGGTAGACCCAAGGGTGTGGCAGTTTAGATTGGTCTTTTGGAAGAGATCTTGTTAAGATTAGGATAGATAACCAGTGTTATTACTTCCAGGGATACTGGAGAGATTCCTGTTCATCAGGCCCTAAATTTAAAACCTGGAGATCCTGAGGGTATAGAGGGGAAGATATGATGTGGGGAATCTGATCAAAAGGGATAAGGTTTTGATTTTGAGTCTCATCATTTTCCCCAAGGGAAGCTTGCTTCTTCTTTTGGAGATGAACTCCTTATAAGGTCCCTTTTTGGTGCCTTTAAACCATAGTTTCTGTGTAACTTTATTTTTCTGGATTTTTTGAGCTAAAGTTCAAAGTCAAAGTCTTATTCTTTCCTCTCTGCTTTTGTGTTTTTTCTTAGCATATTTCTTAATAGTTTTATGATTTGACCTGTTCCATCTACCTGTTCACCAGACACAATCTTTTTATTCACATGCTTTGATTATTGAGAGATCACAGTGTAGACCCAGTGTCTGGTCAGCTATCCTGGGTTTCCCTCCCCTGGTTACTTCCCTGTCCCTAACTATCTGTCTTCTGGATTTTCTCTTCAAGTCAAGAACCCTATTGAGGCAAGTGTCCTGCTGGCTGAAGCCTCACTAGCACGGAAGCAGCGGAAAACACATACTACCTTTATTCCACTGATGCTGAATGAGATGCCACAGGTTGGGGACCTGGTGGGCCTGGATGCTGAGTTTGTCACTCTTAATGAGGTAACCAAACCTAAAAGGTTATGGTGTTGGAACAGAGCTCTGGAAATATTAGGAGTCATAAGCAGTTCTCTGATTTCTTAATGTTATCAACTCTTCTCATATAGGAGGAAGCAGAGTTACGCAGTGACGGCACCAAGTCTACCATCAAACCAAGCCAGATGTCAGTAGCAAGAATTACTTGTGTTCGAGGCCAGGGACCCAATGAGGGTATCCCCTTCATTGATGACTATATCTCTACCCAGGAGCAGGTATTAGGATATGGAGGTACAAGCAAGACAAACCTTATACTTATGTAGAGTGCTCTAGAACCCAGGGAAGAGTAGCAGGGGGAGACTGTGCACGTCACTTCCTGAGTAACTTCTTTTCTCTATGCCTAGGTGGTGGATTACTTGACTCAGTACTCGGGGATTAAGCCAGGAGACCTAGATGCCAAGATTTCCTCTAAGCACCTTACAACTCTCAAGTCTACCTACTTAAAGCTTCGTTTTCTTATAGACATTGGAGTCAAGTTTGTGGGTCATGGTCTGCAGAAGGACTTCCGGGTCATCAACCTCATGGTTCGGGCAGGGCTCTTTTTAAGAGTTTCCTTTGAATATGGGCCCTTTAGGGTATACATTGTGCTTTTGGAGAATGGGAAATTATGGATCACCTACCTTCAGTCTCCCACTCTTTTATCTCTGCCAGGTGCCCAAGGACCAAGTCCTTGACACTGTCTATCTCTTTCATATGCCCCGAAAACGAATGATTTCCCTGCGATTCCTTGCTTGGTACTTCCTAGGTGAGTTGGTGTATCTTGTGCTCATTAAGAGCAGGAAAAAGTGTTGGAGGAATCAAAGGAGTAGGGAGGACCCTGACTTAGTGGTGAGAGTTACAAATGGATTTAAGTAACTTCAGTATCCCTCTGCACTAAGAATGGTGTTTGGCTCTTTCCCTTATGGGCAGTCAAGTCATTGATTATTGATTTTTATCAATTATTGGGAGAAGGGGATGTGATTATGGGATGTGTTCTTACCTTCCTTTGTGAGGTTCCAAACTATTCCGCCTCTTAATTCCCTCAGACCTGAAGATACAAGGGGAAACCCATGACAGTATTGAGGATGCCCGCACAGCCCTTCAACTCTACCGAAAGTATCTGGAGCTAAGCAAGAATGGCACGGAGCCTGAATCCTTCCACAAAGTGCTCAAGGGTCTTTATGAGAAGGGCCGAAAGATGGACTGGAAGGTTCCTGAGCCTGAGGGTCAGACAAGTCCCAAGAGTAAGGCCTGGGATGGGACAAGGGAAACTGGACAGGGTGGGTTTTGATTGCATATGTGAAGATTAGACTCATGATAATGATGATGATTGTGATGTTAACAACAGTACCAACCCTACCTTACGTTTGTAAAGCACTCAGTAGTTTACAAAGCATTTAATCCTCCCAACATTCAGTGAAATAGATTGTATTCTTGAAAGTCTACATTGATCCTAACCTCCTCCTGCCTAATTCTAAAATGTTTGTTAAAATTTTTTTTACATTTATTTATTTTTGAGAGACAGAGCATGAGTGTGGGAGGGGCAGAGAAAGAGGGGGACACAGAATCCAAAGCAAGCTCCAGGCTCTGAACAAGCTGTCAGCACAGAGCCCGAAATGGGGCTTGAACTCATGAACTGAGATCATGACCTGAGCTAAAGTCGGATGCTCAACCGACTGAGCCACCCAGGAACCCCTAATTCTAAAATGTTTGGGGGCAGGTTTGCCCTCTTTTCCTTGATAAAAAGTATTCCAAGTGCTTTTTCTCCACTCACCTTAAGAGTCAATGCTCTTGATTTTGTCTCTGACAGATGCAGCTGTCTTCTCCTCAGTGTTGGGGCTCTGACCTTCCCCTGTCCCAGTGACCTACTCCCTCTCCCTTCAGTGTTCTGTGCCCCAGAACTGGGAGATGGCTTCCCAAGTTGGCTATACCTTGTCCGCTTCCAGAATTGGACCTGCTCAGGGTCTACAGATGGTGCTATTAATAGAACTGGAATGCAGCAGAGTTGCTGCAAAGGGAAGAGGTGCCAGATTCCTTTTTCATTCTTTGCAAAATAGCGGGCCAGAAACAGAGTCTAGAATTGACCCAAATGGACAGAAATTGGTATTCTCAATAAATATCCTGGGTAATTAATATCCAGGCAAAAGAATGCTCCTGGAACCAGTACTCTCAGTTCCTAGTTGGCTAAGGACTGAAGTCCTGGACAGTGATAGGATACAACAGTAGCTCGAGACAGCTCAAGTCTCTGCTTGAGGGATGCCTGGATGGACCAGGACATAAGAGTATTGGTGCCCAGAGCAAACCAGTGTTGCCAACACCATCATTGCCAAAAGGCCTTTGGGTCCTAGACACAGCTTGGCTGCTGTCTTCACTCCTGCTGACAGCTGAGAAACATCTGTCTTCCATCCACTCTCCTGTCCCAACTTTTGTTATTTTTTAAAATTTTGTTTTAAAATGCATGTTTTATAAAATAAAAACAAAAATATTATTGGCTTGTCATCTCTGTGATTAGAGACCCGCGAGTGTTGGATGCTCTGACTTAAGCTCTCCTCTCCTTTCTTTGTGTTGGCTTTCTACAACTGGGAAAAATCAAAGCTTTCAAATTTCCACCTAGAAATGAAGGTGAAGCTCTGGAGTCGAGTTTAAGGTTACTGGGGGAAAATAATTACGTCTTACCTGGACAGTTATTTTTAGCTCTTTGCTCTGGTTGCCTAGTACCTTAAGGTCCGATTCTTTTAAGATGCACAGTATGGTTTTCTCGGAAAGTTGGGGAAGCTGACAAACCGTACATCATGTTATCTTAAGACCTGTAGCTACTAACGGGATCTGCTGAAGTGCTGCGGTGCTTCCTGGGAGATGTAGTTCACGGGGTACTGAAACCCGGGCTTCTCACAGAATAGCAGGGTACCTTTCTTTTAAAAGGCCCTAGCCCACCTAGACTGGCACATCCACGTGCGTCTGACCGCGTCCTTACGCCACGCCAGGCTCTGTCCTTGCTTCAGGCCACTCCTATTCTTCGGCTGACCCCTGGTGGTCACGTGGAGCTGCTCGCCACGCAAGTCTGGGTCCTTCTGCGAGCCACCGGGGTCCTCGCAGCCTGGAAGCCGCTCCGGAGCTGCCTGTTCGCGCGAGAGTTTGGAGGGGCGGGTTTGGGGTCGGTCTCCGGTGTGGGGCTCGCACGGCAGCGCTTCAGAGCCGTGCTCAGGCGGCCGATTGGAGTGCGGGGAGCTGGGTCAGGCAGTCGTTGGGTCACCCGTGCCTGGAAAGTGCCGAAGCGCTCTGGAGAATCCTGGACAGCCCCGCTCTTCCGCAGCCAGGTGCTAGGGTCGGGAGTAAAGTGAGAGTCCGGCAGTCTTCGAGCGCCTGGGCCACGGCGGCGGCCCTGGGAGCAGAGGTGGGACGTATGCGAGTGGCACTGAGGGTCGGGGATGGACTGGAGCGAAGGCAATGGCGGCGTCCTCAGAAAGGGGGCTGGTCCGCACGGGAAACAGCTGGGCGTCGGGGTGGGGATGCAATAATCTAAGGTGGTGGATCCAAATAGGCCCCAGGTATAGAGTGTTCCGCCCGCCACCTCTCTGCCTCCTGGCCTGAATCAGCTGCTTGCCTTGCCGGCAGCTTCTCGGTGCCTTCCGTCCTCGCTTAATCGCCAACCTCCGTTCCGCAGCTGCCACATAACCATGTAAGCCCTAGGCAGTGGACGCCGAAGTACCAACATCTGGGGCCTCACCTGTCGACGTAGTGTCTGGGGCTGAGCCCCAAGTCCCTAGCTTGTGCTCTCACTCACCGCGGGGTGGGGGCGGGGGTGTGGGGATCCGGGTCCTCAAGCGCTGGAACAGAGGAGCTCCTTTGTGTCCTGGCCATTTCCTGAAAAGTAGAGCCAGAGTCACACTGAGGCCTTTGTAGGCCTTGGGATGAGGGATTTGGGGTGAGGGCAATGGAGCCGAATCCTCACACCAATGCTCTATTTACCCCAATTTCAGGTGGAGCAACCCCATTACGCTAAAGATGAAAGGCTGGGGTTGGCTGGCCTTGCTTCTGGGGGCCCTGCTGGGAACTGCCTGGGCTCGGAGGAGCCAGGATCTACATTGTGGAGGTAAGAGCACAAAGAGAAGTCAGAGGAAGGAGGGTGGGGAAGACAGAGCCTTGCTTGGGAGAGCATGAGATACAGGGCCTGGGAGAAGAATGAATGGAAATCCCTGGGTTGATTTCCTTTCTCCCTTCCTTCTCCTCCTTTATCTCCCCTCAAACCAGCTTGCAGGGCTCTGGTGGATGAACTAGAGTGGGAAATTGCCCAGGTGGATCCCAAGAAGACCATTCAGATGGGCTCTTTCCGAATCAATCCAGATGGCAGCCAGTCGGTGGTGGAGGTAACTGTTACTGTTCCCCCAAATAAAGTAGCTCACTCTAACTTTGAATGAGAACTCAACTGATTAAGAAGGACCTTGGTTTAATAGAAATTGGCCCAGATAGGTATCTAAAGTATTGGGCTGTCACATTTGTAAGAGGCTGGAGGCTTATACCCTATGTACTTGCTTCCTGGCTCCAAACCTTAATACTTTATTTCTGCTGTAGTTATTAGGAGACAGGGAACCCTGATCAGCCCCCCCCTCCACATCCGTAATTCTTGTCACTCATATTTTCACTATGGCATAATCACATACATACAAAAGAGAAAAAGAAGACCTTATCCCTGTATTCAGGAAATGTATGTTTTAGTAGGAAACATAACATATATGCAAAGCTGTATCTAGTGAATAGTATATAAAGGAAAGTTAAGGTTATGATGTTTGTGAGATGCTTTATAATCGTTATCCTCAAAGCCTACACTACCTCTCTTATGCTCCTATTGAGGACAGGTATTAGTCTCATTTAATACAAATAAATAAAATCATTAGCGTACACCCATAAGAATTAAAGGAATTCAAAGGAAAGGAACACATAGTTAACTAGGAATAATCAAAAGAGGTCTCTGTTTACCTATAATTTGGAGCTAATGACACACCTGTTTTATTTCTTAGAATTGTGGAGTAAGGTAAAATAAGGTCATATATTTGAAAGCACTTTGGATCTATACAAATAAACTACACTGTTTTTAATTAGGGAGAACTTTTTAGAATAAGTGAGTTGAACTAGATTTGGAAGGAAAAGTAAGGCAATAAATTACTAATATACAGAGGTGGAAGAATGTGACCCAAGGCTGAGGACATTTCTAGGTGCCTTATGCTCGCTCAGAGGCCCACCTCACAGAGCTGCTAGAGGAGGTATGTGACCGGATGAAGGAGTATGGGGAACAGATTGACCCTTCTACCCACCGCAAGAACTACGTACGTGTAGTGGGCCGGAATGGAGAATCCAGTGAACTGGACCTACAGGGCATCCGAATTGATTCAGACATCAGTGGCACTCTCAAGTTTGCGGTGAGCTTTGGGAATGGGTAGCTGGCTTTTGAAAATTAGGGGAATTACTGGACAGCCCAAGCGGAAAAATTACGTTAATGTCCTCTTCCTCTCTGGAGGTGGAGGCAGAAGGCCTCTAATTGCTGTTCATCTCTCATTCATTTCTCCCTTGGGTTGACAGTGTGAGAGCATTGTGGAGGAATATGAGGATGAACTCATTGAATTCTTTTCCCGAGAGGCTGACAATGTTAAAGACAAACTTTGTAGTAAGCGAACAGGTAAACTACTCCTACTTTATTGCCTATCCTCACAGCCCTTTGGAACCTGGCACATTTCCCTAGCATGTTCCTCCACCTCCCACCCCCATCCTCTGATAATAGCTCAAGAATTGACTTCCATTACTTATGACTTAGGGACTTGGGTTGTTCCTCTTCATTCTCTTCCTGTCAGCTTTCAGAATTTGTGGCTCCCTCACCTGGGATACAGGTGAGAGGACAGTGGGAATGTTTTGTTATCTAAAAGGATATGCTTTGAAAAATGGTGGTTGCTGTGTGTGCCAGTTTGGTTTTGGGTATTTTCTTGATAGTGGTATATATCAATATGAGAGTGGCATTTTCCTTCAAACTTTTATGTGCTATTTGCAGATCTATGTGACCATGCCCTGCACATATCACATGATGAGCTATGAACCACTGGAGCGGCCCAGACTGACAGGCTTGATGGATCACCCCCAGGAAGGGAAGAGGGTGGCAATGCCTTTTATATTATGTTTTTATTGAAATGAACTGAAAAATTGTGAAACCAAAAGTATGAACTGTGTTGTCTTTTCATATCCAGAATCAACCCTTATGTTAGGCTTGAAGATAGGGGATTCCAGACAGGAAAGAAAAGGGAAGGAAGTACTTTGGAAATGGTGTAGCATTTATTCAGTGCCTCCTCAATACCATGTGTTTAGAGTCTAATTGTGGAGAGAAGAGGAACCTCTATGAATAAGCAAGGGAACATAGGTAAGTGTACAGTAGTATGGGATTCTAGAAATGACTTGTATTTATAATGATGAAACAAAGTTTAAGACAGAGCTTGGTCTTGAAGGAAATAATGGACATGCATTATTCTTCCCTTCCTGCCCTTCCAGATGGAGGGATCAGTAATAGCAGACAGGAAGGGGAAATGGATGTGATCAACTCATCTGAAAAGTAAGAGCTTTATAAGATAGGGAGAGATGAGGTAAGGAATGTTATTTAATGAAGGCCCTTTCTTGCTGGCCTAAGCTTTTAGATTTGAACCTGCAGCACTAAAGTATACCTTTCTCATTTTCATCTGTCAGTCTAGATTCTAAGTCTGTCCGCACTATCTATGTGTAGAGATTCTGTACTGGTGCAAGGGATGGAAACCTAAAGGATCCTTCTTTGAGGAACTTCTTAAACACCTTGATCCAGAGGAATGTCTGTGTCAGGATTTGGAATGGAACATTTCTATCCTGGGAATACCTCAGGGAAAGAATACCTGAATAAACATTTTGAAGACTTTTAAATTAAGCATTTTAGAATCTAAAAGGGAGTTGGAGGTCATATAGTTCACCTCTGCCCATTTTACAGATGAAGAAACTGAGGCCTAGAGATACCACAGGTCCCAAAGTTCTATATTTAGTGGCAAAATTGGATCAATAAGCTAATGTTCCCAAGTGTCAATCTTATCTAATATAGCTGTAAAATAGCTTCTTTTTTTAAGTCTTTTTTTCTCTTAATACCCTGTACTAAGCCTGGCACACAAAGTGAATTTATTCAGCAAGTCTTTCTTGTCACAAATCCCTGAGAAATCTAACACATGAACTAGTTCAGAGCAAGTATCCTGGTATTAGTTGAAAACTCAGGCTCTAGTATTAATTCCTTATTCTCTCATCAGCCATAAGAAATGCGGTATCCTGTCAAGGCTGTTTTCCAGACCAGCTGTTACTATTTTTTCTTCCATGATGCATATGAATAATGTTCACATTCTTCATACCCCTGTGAGTATACCCAGGATTCTATCCATTGCCTGCTTCCTGTCTAAAAACTTACTCTTTCATCAGAAAGCTTATCAAAAGTGTGCAAGTACTCTTACAGGGAACTTGAAATTGTTTTAATGTACAAAAAAGCAAATAAGTCACAAGCTTTAATAAAATGATGTTAGTTGGTAATAAATTACTTGTGATACACCTCACTAGTCTGTCAAGGTATAGCTGTTAAGAACTCCAGCTCAACAGTCTTTGCCATTGCTACACAGGAGTGTCCTACATAGAGAAGAGTGGACATTATCCTCCCCAACTTGATCCTCAGAAGGTTAGGAGGATATTCTTTGCACATCTTTTTATTCATATCACAGGTTATCACAAGGAATCCATGAATTTATCTGAACCTTTCTGGAGGCTCCCTACAGCAAATGATTCTAGTCCAGTATTTGGTAGATCAAATGCTAACCTTGCATATCTGGTTATACCTTAAGCTTTAGATGCCTTCTAAATGAGTTTATCAGTAAAATGTTAGAACTTAAAGAAATATTCTCAAAGATAGTGTTTAAATGAGATCTAGATGTGAGTAGGAAATTTATTATGTGAAAACCCAGTCCTTTAAAAATAAGTTTTAGGGGTGCCTGGGTGGCTCAGTTGGTTAGGTGTCCGACTTTGGCTCAGGTCATGATCTCACGGTTCATGCGTTTGAGCCCCACATCAGGCTCTGTACTGACAGCTGGCTCAGAGCCTGGAGCCTGCTTCAGATTCTGTGTCTCCCTCTTTCTCTAATCCTCCCCTGCTCACGCTGTCTTTCTCTCTCAGAAATAAATAAAAAACATTAAATTAAAAAAAATAAAAAATAAATATTTTAAAAATAAATTTAAGAGAATTTTTAGGCTGTTAAAAAGGATTCAGAGCAGGGACAAGATTCCTTTAAATATAGGACAGGGATGAGTAGCAAGGGTAAAGGAACTAGTTGATGCTGAATACTCCTTTAACAAACACATACACCTTACTTAATCTTTACAGTTCTAAGAAATAGATGTTACTCCCATTTTTACAGATGAAGAAACTAAGTTCAAATATATTGTGGCTTGGGGAATCAAAACTTCAGCCTTCGTGATTGTCTTATCCTTAGGCCTGTGGGCCTTTCTATCTTGTTCCCTGTAGTGGAGTCTCCACGTAGTCCCTAGTGGCTGTGCAGACTAGTACTTGTGTTGAAAACCACCTCCAAGTTTGAACACATGCCCTCTGACTCTAATAATCAATAGTGAAAAAGCACTGGGGGAAAAAAAGTGAAAAAGCATTATATCCTCCTTTCAGCTATTTTTCCAGACTGATTCTAATAAGAAACCCATTCTACCCCGCTGGTCATTTTAGGTGCTAAGTGTTTGTCTCTCCTACCTTTATATATTCTGGGAGGGTCACCATTTATCATGTATTTCAGGTATGAATATACAAGCGTTTTATAGATGAGTAAGACTATTCCTTATTTTATTATTTATCTAAAAAAATTTTTTTAATAGTTTATTTATTTTTGAGACAGAGAGAGAATGAGCAGGGGAGGGGCAGAGAGAGGGAGACACAGAATCTGAAACAGGCTCCAGGCTCTGAGCTGCCAGCACAGAACCTGATGTGGGGCTCGAACCCACAAACCGCGAGATCATGACCTGAAGTCAGACACTTAACCGACTGAGCCACCCAGCCGCCCCTATTCCTTATTTTAGAAAATATTTTAAAATACAGAACACACTGAGCTGCTGTGCCCAGGAGACCGTAACAGTGATTCAGAAGTCCCCTTCCTGAGTTACAGCTGAATTTTCGTAGTCATCACCATATAAACAGTACAGCTTAGTAGTTAAGGTACAGCTTCTGAGCAATTACAAACTATGGTCCTGAGCAGAATACTTTATCTAAACCTTGGTTTCCTCCTCTGAGGGGATACTAACATTACCTACATCCTTTAGAGTTGTTGTGAGGATTAATTAAGATAATGCATGTACCACATTTAGATAGTACCTGGAAATTATGAGTATTCAATAAATTTTAGTTGTTACCCATTAAATGCAGAAGTTTGATTTACTTAAAGGCAGTTTCAGTTGAAACTTAGGCTGCATATTCCCACTTACCCTTAGCCACCAGGGGGCACCATCCCCTGTGTCCATTTTAAAGAGGTCCTCCCAAGGTTAAGATGACCTCAGTGCTCAGCCTTCTCTCCAATGCCCCCACTAGTTCTCAGGCACTTAATTGTATTTAGACCTAACGCTCATTTGCTGCTTTATTCAGCCAATTCTCCCTTAACTTTCTTCTCTTCTCCCCAGGTCCCATTCACGTTTAGAAAGAGATTCTAAGCTAGCTTCTGGGTGATCACATTTAGTCCTGATCCCTGGGCTTTCCCACTGGCGTTATAGTAGTGGATGTCAGAACTAAACAACTTCAAAACAAGTCCATAAAGTAGTCATAACACTGCTCCAGGACATGGTGTCAAGAGGCTTAGAGCTTTACTGTTTCCCACCCTTCTGCCAGTGACTAGAGCTCCAAAATAGGTTACTCTTATGGCCACTCAATAATTATCCTTTGGTAGTCTCACCCTGAAAATGCCTCTTGTCTTTTGCGGTACTAGAGTTCAGGCCTCTGGTCAGCTGGTTAGTCTCTGTGGATAATTAACCAGAGAGCAGAAACCAGGCCAGACTATTCTAGGGTTAGGAGGAAACCCTCTGTGAGATGCTAAATTGGGAGCAAATATTGATCATTGGAGCTTTGAAGTCACCGAGAATGTAGCTGAGGTCAGTGATCCTTTGGGGCACTGCTCGGCTTCTCTTTATGAAGTTCCTTCTTTCCTAAGACCCACCTGTCGGATTTCCAAATCAGAGGAGTATTGTTTAGCAAAATGTGAAGCTAGGTACAAGGAGAGTCAAGAAGAGAAAATGGTGGTTTAATTTCTCTTTCCCCAAGTCCAAACTATAAACTAATTTCTTTATAAAATAGGTCTATCTAAACCTGGTTTAGATGGTACTGAAACTTCTGAACCTTGTTACTGCTATGTGAGGAGATAAAAGGACTATTCATTTGGAGCTTGGAGTTTGTAGATTAGGTGTCCTGGTCCTTGGGTTAGTTTCCCTCTGCACCTAGGTCAATGACAGTGATGGGTTTAGGAGGTAGAAAGGTCCTGAAGTCTTGTCTACCAAGAGGAGTTAGTGAAAAGTGGTGTGGAAGATCTATTTAGTACTGTGGTTTATTTAATGGTCTCTGGGAAGCATAGGGTAAGTGTATACAAGACAGCCATGTAGGAGAAGGGGTTCAGAGGCCCTATGGAAGTGATTGGCAGTGAAGGGAGTGATGTGACAAAAAGAGGGTGCTTAATCCCTAATTTTGGATGAGGGGCTAGTTTGCAACTTTTGATCTTCTGGTTAGATGTGGGGTGGGCTGCCTGCATGGGGTTATATGACTGGAGTGGCAGTGAGACTAATGCCCAGGACCCAGAGGTTCTAGTCTGGGTTGGAAGTGCTGCCTTCTTTTTTTTTTTAAGATTTTATTTTTGTAGTAATGTCTATACCCATTGTGGGACTCGAACCTACAACCCTGAGATCAAAAGTGGCATGCTCCACCAACTGAGTCAGGCACCTTTGGAAGCCTTCATAGGAAGGGGGTATTTGTAAGATTTGGATTTCCTGGCACTAGACACGGAACTGACAGCCCATAAAGACACTGGATATTCAGGCTCCTGCCTTTGGTTTCCCTCTCCACATATTGGGGTCTCTTACGATCTATAATACCATGGCCTCTGCTGACCTCAGATGATCACCAAGCAGCTAACTTTGGCATCATAACCTCTGTCCACATGACGTCACGTCTATGGCCATTAAGTCATTGACCAAAGACATTCTTTAAGAAAGCATGCCAGCGGGGCAGGAGGTGCCGGCAATGATCAGTAGCCATGATAGTATATTAAAGGATTGGCTTCCGAGGACCTTCCAAGGTCGGAGTCCTTGGGATTTTGTCTCTCATTATTAACCTGAGAACTAACCCGAAATGTGTTAAGGGCAAGAGGGAAGCAAGCCTAAGAAGGAAGTTAACTGAGTTATCAGGCACATACTTAGTCATCTACACGACCCACGCCCCCCCGCCCATCCTTAATTAGCCTAACCCAGGCGGTCCAATCCTGCCTGGAACAACTGCTGTCAACGGCTCAGGTCCCGCCTACATGCACACTGGGCCAATGGCCGAGCCGGAGGTGAATCCCCTGAGAGGGGGCGGGAGCGGTTTCGGGCAGTAGGCGGGGCCTCGCTGAGGACCCCGGGCTGGGCGCCGCCGCCGGTTTGTCTACCCTTTCCCTCAGCCACCTCCTTTCAACCTTGTCCACCCGTCAGCGCGGCCTTTGCTGCAGCGGCGGCTCCCGTTCCTGCTGCAGCTCTGTCCCTTCCTTCCCTCCCCGCCAGATCCCCGAGTTCGCCCGTCATGGCTTTACTCACTGCGGCCGCCCGGCTCTTCGGAGCCAAGGTGAGCAACTAAGGGAGGGAGCGCGCGGCCCCGGGGTGGGGCTGAGGCGACTGCAGGCCCTCTAGCGCCAGGGTCTCCCTCCCCTACCCGTACGCACCCCAGCGCTCCTTAAAGGGGCCCTGCGCCTGGCTGGCCGCCAGACCTCTGTGGAGCTCCCAGGGCCATGTGCTACGCTGGCCTTGTGCCCCTCCGGGTAAAGAGAGCGCTGCCCGCCCCCGGCATGCGGTCTCCGGCGGGTGGAGAGCCCAGCTGCTACTGTCACGCTGCATGTCTAGGGTGAAGAGCTCTGGGAAAAGGAGCTGCCAGTGGAGAACATAGGTGTTGTATTCCATTGGAGTTAGGGAAAGGGCCTGTTTGGAGGAGGGGTTGAGGGGGGAAGGAGAAGTGGCAGGAGTGAAGAGATATGCGCGCTGTCCCTGGACCAGAGATGGAGCAGTGGCTGATTTCGGCTTCTGATTTGTAGGGAAGGCCTCGTCAGTTCCAGAACTGCCTTTTCTCCATTTCTCCAACCCAAATTTTGAAGCTTTTAGGGACCAAGCTTTAGCAGTTCCTCTGGTGGAGTGGGACTCAGGTCCTCTTTGTCCTTGGGACTCTTGCACTTACTCTTCATATAGGAGGAGCTTGGATGGGGTGGAGCCCTTCTGTAAAGCCTTCTGCATGATTATCACATATGATTGGAGAAGGAACCAGAAAGATTGTTCCTCCAAACTGCAGGCCAGTAAGTGAAGATAACTGGGTAGGAGAGAGAGAGAGAGAGAGTGTCTGTCTCTCTGTGTGTGTGTGTGTGTGTGTGTGTGTGTGTGTGTGTGTGTGTGTACTGCTGGTCACCTGACCAATTCTACTATTTCAGGTTTAGCCATTGCTTTTAAGTCTACTCTACCCAGGAGAGATTCCTCTCGTTCTTTGAGGCCCCAATTTCCTTGAATTTTGTTGCCTTTGGATTATATGAATATTGTTGCAGGTAATGGTACTTTCAACTTCAAACTGCCAGTACTTTTGCCTCTGGATAGCTTAGCCCTTTAAGTAGAGAAACTGCTGTGTTGAGGGGGGGTAGTTCCAGTCTTCTAATCCAAGCAGGGACAGTCCCACAAATGACCTTGACTTCTGCAAAGAATTTATACTTTCTCTTCTGCAGATTAAAGCTGCCAGCACCTGAAGGAAAGGAAAGTCTTAGAATGGTTTCGGCTTGCTGTGTGTTATCTTGCATGGTTGACAGATAAGATCAAGCCTGTAGAATTTACACTGGGGTTCTTCCAGGTACCCAGCAGCAAGGTGGAGGCTGATCATTTGGGAGATACTTGTCTTACTTGACTGTTGCTTCTGCTGCCAGGGAACAGGGTAAGGAAGCCTCTTGGGAAATGAAGCAAGTTCTAGATAGTGTTTTGGCAGAATAGGGGACACGATACTATAATTAGCTCATTCCAGAGTTGCTAACACAGACCAGTTAATCTAACCCTTCAGCAAATTTGAAAAAACTTTAGAATTTACGTTTTGAGTTTATTTTGTCTTTTAAGCTTCTGGGGAAGCTCAGAACGCTTTTGGGATGACAGCGCTACATAATTGTAGAATCATTATTGTTTTGTTTACTTTCCTGTTAGGGATGAACCCGAGGATCCCAGAAACCTGTAAATTGGAAGCCATTTGAAGGCTCTTGACTCTTAAAATGAGCAAAAAACACAGGAGTGGAAATTTCCTGAGATCTAAGCAGAATGATCAGGATACCAAGAAGCCTTTCATTTTGTCAGCATTGCTAGCACCTGCCTGAGTTTTTCAGATTAGCCTGCAACTTAACTGGAACTCAGCTTTACTGTTGCTATTAAGGTAGGCTTTAAAGAGCAAAAATAGATAGTTTTCTGATCTGAGAGAACTGACCCCTACTACTTTGATTCTCAAGGTCAGATGTAGTTTCACTTTTCTGAGAAGAGGTTTTTTTGTTGTTGTTGTTTTTTAACATTCAAAAGCACGCACAAGTGGGGGAAGGGCAGGGGAATAGGGAGGGACAGAATCCCAGGCAGGCTCCACGTCCAACATGGAGCCCAATGCAGGGCTCGATCTCACAAATCTGGAGATCATGACCTGAGCTGAAATCAAGAGTTGGACTTTTATTATTTTTTTAACGTTTGTTTATTTTTGAGGAAATGAGACAGCGTGAGCAGGAGAGGGGCAGAGAGAGGAGACACAGAATCTGAAGCAGGCTCTGGGCTTGGAGCTGTCCGCACAGAGCCCAACTGCAGTGTTCAAACTCATGAATTGTGAGATCATGCCCTGAGCCGAAGTCAGATGCTTAACCAACTGAGCCACCCAGGCACCCCTGAGAAGAGATTTTTTTGACCATGCTAGGTGACATAAATGCCAGCCATTGTTGCATTGTTCTACCCTACTCACTTTTAGGTAATTTAATGAACACCCGAGTTGGGGAGATAGACTAATTCAGAGCCTTGAGATTATTTGACTTGTTTATCCAAATGAATTCATACTAAGCATTGGCCTTAGTATTAGGTCTGGGTGCCTTCGCTTTGTGGTGTACTATCTTTTCACAAGTGATCTGGATCTGGATTTGGGCTGGGAATTAGAGTATGGTCACTAATTCACTCCTGGACTCCTATAACACCAACTTAAACCCTAGTTACTTTTTTTTTTTAATATTCATTTTTGAGAGATAGATAGTGTGATCAGGGGAGGAGCAGAGAGGGGAAGACAGGATCTGAAGTAGGCTTTTCACTGACAGCAGAGAGTTCGCTTCAGGGTTTGAACTCATGAACCAAGAGATCATGGCCTGAGCCAAAGTCAAACACTCTACTCACTGAGCCATCCAGGCAACCCAACAAATCTGTTACTTCTTGTACCATTGAGAATTGTCCCTCCAAGCTAGAATGTTCAATAACTTTGAAAAAAAATCAAGGCAAAAGTATTTTTATATTATTTCTAGACCCTTTCAAAACACTTAAATTATACCCATGATTCCTTTACAGTAGACCTATACTACTGAACAGTATAAATCCTAGTCTGAAATTGGGTTCGACAACACTAGATCAGTTTTTTTCTGTGAAATGGTAGTTAGGCTTGAACTTTTATTTTTTAAAAAACATTTTTAAAGTTTATATATTTAAGTAACGTCTGCACCTACATGGGGCTTGAACCCATGACCCCAAGATCAAGAGTTGCATGCTCTTCCAACTGAGCCAACCAGGTGCTCTTACAGCCTAGAACTTTTTTGTTTGTTTGTTTTGTTTTTGTGTGAGAGACAGAGAGAGAATGAGCAGGGGAGAGGGCCAGAGGGAGAAAGAGACTCCCAAGCAGGGCAGACCCCAACGTGGGGCTCACTCCCATGAACCATGAGATTATGACCTGAACCAAAACCAAGAGTTGGATACTTAACTGATGGAGCCACCCAGGGGCTCCTACAGCCTAGAACTTTTAAAGGCAAGTGTCCAAATCACAGCCTACCCAAAGTGATGGCAGTTCCTTGATGCTTACTAGATGGGCCAAAGATGAGAAAATGGAGAGTAAAAAGCCTCATCATATGCTAATGGTGGGATGACTGCATTTGTTCTTCCTACTGGCCTTTAGATTGGTAGCAGATGAGTACATGGATGTGGGGAAGCAGTGAGGTGAGCAGTGCTGAAGTAAGTCATTAGAAGAGAAGGCTGGCATTCCTAGTTCAAATGGACAGAAGGCAGGAAGCCAGATGTGGTGGATCTCTAGAGCTATATAGTAATTCTTTTTGGCCTAGTTCAGTGCTTTGTGTCATATAGTAGGATGTGAAATTAAGTTTTGTTTATTTAAGTGATCTCTACACCCATTGTGGGGCTCGAAGTCATGACCCTGAGATCAGAGTCACATGCTCCTCCAAATGAGTCAGCTAGGCACCCCTAGGTCCCTGTATTCCTTTTAACATGTTACCATTTTAAACGTTCTGTGAGTTCACAGTGGGCATTATCACCTGGGTTGCTTGTTCACATGGCACATTCATGATTCCTGTCTTCAGATTCTGATTCAGCAAAGGTAGGATAGGATCTGGAAACTTGTATTTTTGCAACCACTTCTGTTGACCGACCTGGTGGACCAGTAAAGAAACATACAGGTCTTTTGTTTGCAACTTTATTGAGAATGAATATATATATATATAAAATTTTGAGTATTTAGGCTGTTTAATTTTTTTATTTTTTGGAATTAGTGATTATTTTGAAAATTAATTTCAGGGGCACCTGGGTGGCTCAGTTAAGATTCTGACTTCAGCTCAAGTCATGATCTCATGTTTTGTGGGTTCAAGCCCCACATCTGGCTCCATGCTGTCAAAACAGAATTCATTTCAGGTCCTCTGTTCCAGTCTCTCTGCCCCTCCCCCACTCGTTCATTTTTTTTTTCTCCCTCTCTCTCTCAAATAAACTTTTTTTTTTTTTAATTTGGCTTCAGAAGTAACTATACTAGGCAATAGTCCGTTTAGGCTATTTTCTCTAGGTTTGTCTTTGTAGGCCTTTTTTTCAAAAGCCTTCAGAAGTATCTTGTAAATTTCTGGACCAAAGTGTTAGGTGCTGAAACTACAAAGGAACTCCCAGTGGAAGTGAGAGCAGTTTCTAGTTCCTAAGAAAGTAGTAGGAGGGCAGGTCCTGTATACTTTATTCACAAGTGTACACTTAGTGTATTTAGAATAAGTAGGTGTTTGGAAAATATTTGTTAAAGAAGAGTTAGGATTTCTACTAAAAGGAAAATTAGAGCTCTTGATTCTTTTCTGAGGTTATACTCGTGTCCTTTGTGGTCTTCCTTGGAGTGAGTCTTTAGGGAAGACTCTATTAGAAAATGACAATTAGGTAGAATTATTAAGGAACTCCTGTGAATATGAAGGAGGTCAGAGTATGAAACCTGAAGATACTGTGCTCAGGCTGTTAAGTGGCCTGACCAAGTACTGCACGCCAACTTCCAATATCACCATTGTGAAACACATGTTAAATGGCTTTAGTTCTCTGACCTGGTTCTGGGGAGAGAGGAGTCTTTGTCTT